AAATGGGATACATAGGATGCCATTTTTGAAAAAGTTTCTAATAAGACTTTTTATATCTAGTCCGTTAAGTACTAGTATCACTTGATCAATATTAGTTTGTGGCGTATTCTGCGGATCCATATTACTTGAACGGTAAGCTAAATAGGAAGATTCTGAAAAGAGTTCACCAGGATTTATATTTGAATTTATCTTTTGTTTAAACCTTTGAACGTCTTGCTGAACCTGGTTGATGAAAAACACCCCTGTGGAGGAGCCCGCAAATATTGGTTCACCATTCGTGTTTTTTGTTGAAGGTAACATTCTACCGAGATGTTGAATAATTAAATTATCATCGCTTTCTTTCTGTGCATTTTTTTGTTTTAAAATTTCAATTTCATCTTTTAGAGTTTCGATCTGATTCTTATAGTCTTCAATCTCAGAAGAATTAGGCGTATTCTGGAATATGGAATTGGGCTTTCTTTTTCGTTTGAGCCTAGTGGTTGTTTCGCAACTTATGTTAGCAACACTGCAATTGATACAAGAATCGCCAGATCCGTAACATCCTTTTTTCAAAGCCCGGCATCTATCACATACTTGTATTCGCTTTGACATATCCTTTAGAGAGAATGCATGCTAACCTCATACCTCTTGGCTTTTGAAGAAAATCGTTTTTGGTAGAAACACATTGGCTCGTATCCCTTCATAAGGGATCTTGATTAGGAAAAGCTTCCATATAATCAATACAACAATTTAAAAATGAAGTATAATGTTGCTGCTCTTCAGATTGGAGCATCCCCTTCTGGTACACTGGCTACATTGGAAAAGATTATGAAGTATGAATCAGAAATTAAGGAATTAAATATCAAGCTAGTTGTCATGCCTGAAGCGACTATAGGAGGGTATCCAAAAGGCTCGACTTTTGGTACTTACTTGGGATATCGTACTCAATCCGGCAGGGAGGAGTTTTCAAAATACCATAAAAATGCTATTACACTTCCAGGGCCTGAAACAGAGACGTTACTGAATTTTAGTAAGCGGACAGGAGCTACCCTTGTTGTAGGGGCCATCGAAAAGGCTGGAGCAACATTATATTGTACTATGATATACATTGACCCAGACTTAGGTTATATTGGAAAACACAGGAAGTTGATGCCTACGGCCTCTGAGAGATTGGTATGGGGTCAGGGAGACGGCTCTGGTCTAATTACACCGGACAATAAATACCTTGGTAAGTTAGGGGGAGCTATCTGCTGGGAGAATTATATGCCATTATACCGTGCAGCCATGTATTCCAAAGGTGTAAACGTTTATTGTGCTCCAACAGTAGATGAGCGTGAAATTTGGCAATCTTTGATGAGAACTATCGGTACGGAAGGAAGATTATTTGTTGTGTCTGCAGTGCATTTCTTACCACCCCCCGAGGAGTGCGGATTAGACATGCCTACCTGGGAAAAGGGTAGAAACAGCATCAATGGTGGGTCAGTTATTGTCAATCCTTACGGTGATATTATTGCCGGTCCTCTAACGGGGAAAGAGGGCTTATTGACAGCAGAAATAGATCTAGACACTATTGTAGAAGCAAGATACGATCTCGATATAACAGGTCATTACGCCCGTAATGATATATTTAAATTAACTGTGGATGAGAGACCAAAGGATGGCGTTTCGTTTATTAATTAGTTCATTTTGCAGCTCGTTGCATCCTAATGTATCGTCATAGATTTCTCCATTGAATACATATAAAAATAGTTTGTAATAAAATAGCCTTTCCTAGATACATAACATTAGCTGAACCTCAATTTCGTATCCTTATTCTCGAGCTAGCTATTAAAATATCATAAATAAATGCTTTCTTATCTGCTTGCCGTATAATAAAAGCACCATTTTTTTCCAGCTTTGTCCAACACTCAATTCCAAACCATAACGTAAAATTTTTAAGCAGTGAGCGATTTAAATACAAAGATTACTCTATAAACGATTACATTATTGAAAGCTTGTATAATTTAGTATTATAAATGCTTATAAATTTACTTAAGAAGAAATTCGCAACTTTCTGAATTACATAGCTTACTATCACCCTTTGTGACAAGTAGTAAACTGAGACTGTGGTACAATTTCGCGGCTAATATGATTATATATTTAGTAAATCTGACTAATCTGAGAGATCAGTAAGATTAGTAAACTGCTTATGTAATTTATGTGTTTAGTAAGACGCAGCGTCTCACGATATGTAGCACTGTGGCATTAAGAAGCTGTCATAAAGTATAAATAACAGTCCTAGAACAACAAGAATATGGAGTTTATTATTCTTTTTACCATAGTTAATACTATACTCATTACTTCAATTAGATTCAGAATATATAAAAATGTCCAAACCAACTGTTGCTATTATTGGAACCTCAGGGTTCTTAGGTAAGCCTACCTTAGATGCTTTTGAAAGTTCAGATTTTGCAGATAAATTTCAATTTCCAATTAAAGCATTATCCAGATCATCCAAACCATCAACTGATAAAATCAAGTTCATCCAAGGCACGTTGGACGAAGAAGGAATTGATAAGGTTGTTGAAGCACTTAAAGGTGTTGATGTGATTATCGAATTATCCGGACCTGAAGTCTTTGGGCCAGTTGAAAATTTAGTGAAGCAAGTTAAGCCAAAGTTATTCATTCCTTCACAATTTGGAACTGAAATTGACAAGTCTGATAAATTATTCCCAGGATTTTTAGGCATCAAGACAAAGCACTCTAAGGTGGCTAGAGATGCAGGCATTAAGGTGGTGGATATTATTACTTCCTTATTCGCTGCTCCAGGAGCCTTTTTATACGAGATCGTGGGACAAGTTGGTCTTGATCCAAAATCAAAGAGTGTCACTTATAGAGGGGATCCAGATATCAAGTTTGCTTTCACCCACGTTAATGATATTGGTAGATCAGTTGCAGCAACCGCTGCCATTGATCCTTCAAAATTACCTGACAAGATCAGAATCCAATCGGGATTAATCACGCCTAGACAAGTTGTTGAAAAATATGAAAAGGACCACAATGTGAAACTTACAGTCAAAAACGAATCGGCTGAAGAAGCATTAAAGGAGGCACAAGCAAAGTATGCTAAAGGTTTCGATTTCGCCGATTTCTTGTATTACTTGAGTGTTGTTCTTTACCAAGGTGTTGATAATGGATTATCATTTTCTCAAAACGAGAATGAAATCGTTAATCCAGGCGATAAATCATGGACCTGGGAAAAATATTAGTATTGATTTTTCGAGGGTTTTATAGAATATGTTGTTGTATATCAGAATTTGATGTATCTTAACATATATACTTTTATATTTCTATACTAAATTTTATACTTTTATATTAAATGCTTCAAGTAGCCTTTAAATATGAATTCGCATTCAAAGATGAATACTTCTCTTTTTAGAATTGGAAGCCTCTAACGAGCAACTATCAGATTGTGGACTTCTATCTGATACCAAGCCAACATTCGAACCCGATTGCTTCTGTCTCTCAAGAATTTTTTCTTGTCTATAATTGTTTTCAATCCAATAATTAATTCTTCTTTGATGACCCCTGAGAAAGTTATCAACCCACGTCTTTTCAAATTTAGGTAACCTCCTGCCAGGACCTTCTTCCCCTGCTAATTCACGTAATAATTCAAAATATTCCTGAAACTGTGGATATAATGTTATAAACTTCTGCCCATTACCTCTTACTGCGATTCGGTCCTGTTCCCATTTAATTTGCTCCTGAATAGATGGTAGTTTGGCCCTTCCCGCGTATACTCTTGCAAGGGCAACAGCTTGCCACTCGAAGACTTTGAAGGTTAATCCTGCAGCAATAGCACCCACAAATGACAAAGTTTCATCACCAATCTTAAAAATATGCTGATATAGGCCTTGAACTCTATTACCAGTAAGATCTAAATTAGGTAAAAATGGGTAACTGAAAGAAAACCCAGTTCCAAAGATAATGCTATCAACGTTTGATACAGATGTATCGTCATCGAAGTA